TTGTTGGTTGTCGATTGTCGATTGACTTGTGGGTATACTTTCTGGTGACCAATAAATGTACGTCGTCTTAACTGAATGTAGGTAGTCTGATCAAATTCAATAAAGCAAAAAGACATCCAGCCAAGAGAACATCGTAAGAATGTCCGATATGGTTGATAACATTCATAGTTTTGGGGAGCAGCCATCGACCAGAATGAACCTTATTGGCTTTTGTATGTAACAGTTGCATTGCTTTTAGAAAGTTTCAGTCAGATATCTTCAGAAATGGCAATGTTATCGGCTTTTGCATTTTACCGTAGTCGGTTAATCACAATTTTCCAGGGAATATTTTAACCCTCGCCCATGTAGGGGGGGGGGTTGGTGCAACCCCCCCTGAGGTTTTTCGGAAATAGTGCAAAAACGGCGGCGCGCAGCGCCGCCAAATTTTGGGTACCTTATGGGGCAAACCTTGCGCATCTTTTGATAAAAAAATTTGACCGGGTCATGTCAGGTCACGGAGTTATGACGTCACAAAGGGAACAGCCTCCGGCCGGATTTTCACAAACTGAGTGCCAACGCCCGAGGTTTCCTGCCGGTGGTACGAACATCGGTTGATGGATCGTGATGAAACTTCCCATGCATATTGGGGCAAGTATTGGCTATCATACGGTATAAGAAACTTGACCGGGTCAGGTCAGGTCACGGAGCTATGACGTCACAAGAGGAACAGCGTCCGGTACTATTTTTGAAAAGCGCCCGAACCACTATTTTGCTAATTCTTGTCACCTCAATGGGAATATGCAGCAATATTAGCTTCTATAGGGAGCAAATGGACCTCCCAAATCCAAAAATACAATCAGATTTCAAAAATTTAAATTTTGATTTTTCGAATTTCTGCCGCCGACTGTGACCTTGCCGACTTCCGGCGCTCCCAACGCGCCATTTTTAGAGCTAGGGAAACGAAATACATACCAAACGATAGAGAATTGATCAAGGAACACGATAGTGAAGGTTTCAAGTCGATATCTCCCACCGTTTTGCCGCAATCGCCGCCGAAAGTTGAAAAAAGTCTATTTTTCCGAAAATTTGACCTTTGACCGGTCAAAAGTAGGTCAAATGTTGACCTAGGACCAAAAAATATACCACCAATCGCGAGATCTCGGCGAGAGCAATCCGTTGGTCTTTTCCGCTAAGCTCTACGACGCTCCGTTTTCAAACGCCAAGGGGGGGGGGTCGCACCAACCCCCCCCCCTGCATGGGCGAAGGTGGCAGATCGCCGTTTACGGGCGAGGGTTAAAGGGACTATCCCACCTTCTAAAATGTTGTTAAAACCAGTTAAATTGTGCCCGACTTTATAGATTGGATGACCAGGAACACGGTTCTGGCATTTATTTTTCATTAAACATCTTAGGCTTCCCATATTCCAAACACAAACTTTCAAATATGTGACGTCACAGCTCAAAATTACCTCCTTCCCCAGGCCACATTACTGTCATAAAGCTGATTCTTTTTACTCTGTAGGCACCAGGCACGTACCCAGGATTTCGCCCAGGAGGGGGCCACCTGCTTCCGAAGGGGCCCTTAGGTCACCCGGGGGCCCCCAGGCCCCCAAGGGTCCCAGGCAACCAGGGGCCTCCATGCGACCAGGCCCCCGCTACCAGGGGCCCCCTTGGCGACTAGGGGCCCCATGCGACCAGGCCCCCCGGCTACCAGGGCCCCCTAGGCGACTAGGGACCCCAGGCAATCAGGGGCCCCCATGCGACCAGGCCCCGGCTACCAGGGGCCCCCTAGGCGACCAGGGGCCCAGGAAACCGGGGGCCCTCGGATGACTGTAGGGGCCCATCGGGTCATCAGGGGCCCCTCGGGTAACCAGGGGCACATAAATGAAACTTTGATCATTTTTTCTTCCTAGCAAAAGACGTTTTATCCAGTGTTTGAAAAATATACCGGGGCCTGAGGGGCCCCCTGAGCGCCTTCGGCGCTCAGGAGGGGGCCATGGCCCCCGTGGCCCCCCCTTGGGTACGTCACTGGTAGGCACCACAACAAAATTCAGACCAAGTTTTAAGCGATTTTTCAACGAACAAACCCATTTAAATCAGAATGACTAAACGAGGTGACGTCACACTAACGGTCGCTCCATGTTGAAGATAGGGCCTTGTACAAGGCCCATTTTCAAATGAAGGGAACGAATTTCTTCAACACCAAGAGGCCGCGGGGGTTGCAACCTAGATAGATAGTGGTTTCTGAACCTCGCCGCAAACTTGGCTATCTTAACTCAAACCCCATGTTAAAGGTGGGATAGTCCCTTTAAGGCACTTACTGCGTCCCATTTTGGGACGCAGCCCCCTCGCCTTGGGACGTAGCCCCTGCTAATTTGACCCACTGCGTCCCTGCCCTGTCCGGTTCCCCGACCTGTGCCCTGCTGTCTGCCCTGACCTGTACCCGGCCTTCCCTCTAAAACGTCCTGTGCCATGCCCTGCAACCTGCCGTGCCCTACTTTCTGCCCTCCTCAGTGCCCCACTCTGTTCCTTGCCCTGTGCCCTTAGTCGTAGCAGTGCCCTCTGCTCAACTTTGGGACGCAGTAAAAATTTGTTAAAATATGCCCTGCAATTTTCGATATTGCAAAGGCAATTTCAGTACGTTCTTGACATCGAAAACCAAAACGAATAGCATCATCGTGTTCCAGAGCTCAAATTGCATCCGATGCACATCTTTTTTGTTGAAAATGTTCAACTTCAAAATTTGACCTTTTTGACCTCGCCGTGACCTGACCTTCATTTGTCGAATGGAAATAGTTTCGAATCGGACGACCCAGATGACATCATTTTTAGATGCTTTTGCCGAAATGGACCATCAAAGATGTGTCGCATGACCTTAAAAATGTATACATTTCCTTCCATGACCTTTTCCATGACCTTTTGTGACCCATGACCTTTCCATGACCTTTTGTGACAAAGTTAGGTTTCGTTTGTCAGCTTTTCCTATCAGAAGCCGTTTGAACTTTTAGTATTGAACGAGTGGTTTCGAAGACAGCAGGGAAGCTATGCAGAATCCCCTCCCGAGTCACCCACGTTATGGGATATACCCGTCATCCGCGGATTACAAGCAAAAGTATTTTTTACGGCAATGATGCATATCAGCATGGAGGCTCATACGTTCCCATATGTGACCGTACGGTTGACTTCACATACAATAAAAATTTCTTGGCAAAATGTCAACTGGTTAACGAGTTATCGCATTTTGGCCACTTCCGAACTCAAATAGCGGCTGTGTGGTGCGGGGTCGTGTCACGGGAGTGTGGAGGGGGTGTGATGCAGGTCAGAGGTCACCATCAGGAGGCCGCCGAGTGACGATTGGACGCCCGCAGGCGCCAGAGGTCGTGTCATCTCACACCGTGAGAGCGTGTCATCTCACACCGTGAGAGCGGCCGGTCAGCGCCGAGGCTGGCACGCGGTCAGGGCCGTCGAGATGGATTACAGGGAGACAACCACGCGATCGGAATTTAGTGGCCGACGTGACGACAGGTATTGGATTTAATTGGTATGCCGATCATAAAACGGTTTGGTAAAGCGGTGTGGTGGTGGACAGCGAGGGGCCCCGCCTGAGGGCGAAGATGACCACCAGAATTGGGGTCACAGGAACATGAGGGAGGGAGGGGGGAGGGAGGGGGAGGGAGAGGGAGGGAGAGAGAGAGAGAGAGAGAGAGAGAGAGAGAGGGAGGGAGGGAGGGAGGGAGAGGGAAAATGAGAGAGGTAGGAAAGCAGATGTGACAGGAGCGTTACAAACACTTACAAACACATATTTACATATATGCGTGCGACTGTTCGCAAAGCTGACGCTGCAAGTCTCATTCACAACATGCCAGCGTGGAAGCACCTTCATTGCGCGAGTTCCTTCTCCATTGTCCGACACTTAGCGATGAGTCAGCACATCCATCTATAGAGCGATGAATGGCACCTCCGTGCGACACAAGTAACGGTATTTCCTCTATCGGTATCGGCCGATCGGTAGCACCCAGAGGCATCTCCTGTCAACACAGCATGGGATCCGGACTGCGGCCAACACTGCCGCTGCGTCGATCTATGGCTCCCTCACCTTCAGATTTGCCGCAGAAAAACACGTCTTGTAAGCTGGCGACTTTTGCCGGCCGAATGCAGGTCTCACAGCCCAGCACTGCGATAAAGATGCCAGTACGTGCCGATTTCGAAACCGATGACGACGGCAATGCTGCCGACATGAGAAGATATGCTAGCTCGTTTTTGCGATGCGTCGTCTCTCGCTGAAGCTTTCAGTGCCACAGTTCTCGTAGAGAGACAGAGGGAAAGGGTTGCTGGATGACTCGAGGGGTACAAGATAAATCGCAAGGTTAGGTGGTTGAGGCTCAATGTATGAAATAATGACAGCACTATAGCACGGTACCAGTTTGTGTGCGTTCACCATGCATTGAACGCAGACCACCATTCACGAATGGCATTCACGAATCATAACGCACGACTTGTGTCGTCATCGTGGCATTTTTGCCCTCTCCATCACCGTCTCATGCCGGGCTTGTTTTTGTCTGATTGCATGAGACAGCTGGCATCACAGATAATAGCGCGATTTCCCAATGACAGTGGTTATCTCTGCCGTCTATCGCTTCATTAACTGTGCACGGATGCCGCAGGTAATCGCAGGATTCTTCGCTGAGATGCGCTATCTCTGCGATCATCCGGTGATTTTCCCAACGCAAAAACGCGCTGCAAAAACTCGGGGTCGTTACCGCCGCCCTCTCGCCACCGGCCGAAGGTAGACGCATATATCTCGTCGCGGCGGGCGGCGCGTGCATACCTGCGTGTACCGCGCCGCGCAAAAAGCGCCGATCGCGCCGGCGCCGCGTACCTGGGCCGGCCGGTAAGCGGCTTAGCGGGCCGATGGCGAGGTGCCGGTCGCCGCCGGTCGGTGGAGCTTCTGCCCGCCCGCGGCCAGCCAAGGCCGGTGCTGACCGGCCGGCCGGCCGCCGGCCGCTCGCGTGGCCCGGTGGGACGCGCCGGGGGCTCAGTACCGGTCCGTAGCGCGCACCGAGATGACGTCCCACTTGAGGCTGGCCCTGCTGTCGGCGCTGCTGGTGCTGCTGCCACCGGGAGGCAGCGGCATGCCCCAGGAGGCCACCGGGGCCATCCTCTGCGAGCCGGGTCTCACCTGCGGGGACCCGGACGTGTTCGAGCGCGAGCTGCAGCCGGAATCGGCGCCGCTCTCCGAGATCAAACCGGTGGCGGTGTGCCCGCCCGACACCAGCGAGCTGACCTGCCGGCCGGCCGGGAACGCCAGTGCGCCCCTCTGCGGGGGCCGCGGCTCGTGTGAGTGCGGCCGGTGCCGGTGTCAGTCCGGGGTCAGCGGCGCGTTATGCGATTGTGACGAGGAGGCGCGGTGTCCCGTCTCGGGTGCCGGAGAGATGTGTGGAGGCGCGCGCCGCGGTGTCTGCCGATGCGGCGCCTGCGAGTGCCTGCCCGGCTGGCAGGGGGTCGCCTGCGGCCAGCGCGTGTGTCCTCAGCGCGTCGGTCCCGACCACTGCAAACCAGCCACTGCCGACGCCGACGAGCCCGAGTGCTCGGGCCGCGGCCGGTGCGAGTGCGGCGAGTGCCAGTGCATCAGCCACGGCTTCGAGCGCTACACGGGCGAGTTTTGTCACATCTGTCCCAGCTGTCCCGCCCAGTGCGCCGACTACTCCGACTGCGTGCGGCAGCGGCTGTTCGAGCCGGCCGGCGGCGCGCCCAGCCGCTTCTGCCAGTCGCTCGAGCTGAAACTGGACGACGAGCTGGTGCCCATCGCTGCCGACGAACAGGTCTGCACGGCTCCCCTCGGCGACGGCTCCTGCCGCTTCCAGTTCGTGCTGCGACACGATATCGGCGCGCTCAGCGTCAGCCTGAGGGCCAACAAGGAGAAACTCTGCTTCGCCGATGCTGAGAGTGAGCCGGAGCACGGCGAGGTGCCTCACCGCGAGATTCCGATAGGAGATGAGGAAGAAAACGAAGTGGAGCCGCGCCGCGAGAGCTCGACGGCGGAGGACGGAGCCGGGAGCGCGGCTGGTGTCGCGGCGCCGACATCCTTCGGGGTGGTGATGGCGTTATACGCGGCAACGCTGATTCGCCTGAACTGATGATGGTGCAGAGAGTGAATGATAACGTGGGTGAGTTGGTGCAGCGCTGGTGATGAGAACAGACACTTAAGTGCTCGTGTCGGGTAAGAAAAACCCGTCCGCTCTGCAGTTTTCATCGCAAATGTAAAGCCATCGTGATTGTCGGATCACGAAGGAGCGCTGCGCAGACAACGGTGATGATTGGATCAAGCTTTATCCTTTCCAAATACGTCGCGAGCTTTGAAGCTCGCGGCGTAGATGGCGGCGGCTCGTAAGCCGGTTTGCAGTCTCCGGGTCGTCTCGCCGGGACCCGTTCGGTGCCTCGCAGCGACTTTTCGCGAGCCCCACCTTGCGGAGATGGCCGCTAATCCGTACTGACCACGGGATATCTCGTCAGCCCCGGGCCTCTTTAAGGACGTCGCGGGTCGTTTCGAGACAGAGGATGGCACCACCCTGACGTGATCTCGGGTCGCGGGGATAAGACTGGGACCAGAGGACCAGAAGGCGGTGACTGGTACGGCACGGGAGGCAGAGGGGAGGTGAGAGCCCGACATGGTTCGTGCTATTAACCGTGTTGTGTTCGTGGTAGTGATAGCTTTGTCGAACGCCGAGGTTAACGAAATGACCGAGGCTCAGACGTTTACGAACACCAACAACGCTACAGCGTCTAAGAGGGAGCCGGACCACCTGGCTCATTTCGAGTCTCATCTGCCTGACCTCGCAGCCACACCAAGCGCTCTCACCGCCCAAACACCGGTCGGCGATGTCGAACCCGACAGGACCCTTGCAGAGGTGTGTCCTTCCGAGGAGGTTTGGGCTGTCACCTGCACACCAAACAACACGTCCTGCGGGTCCCAGGGCCGCTGCGAGTGCGGTCGGTGTCGCTGTCAGCCCGGCTGGGAAGGCCCCTCCTGCGGCTGTCACGCCAGTCTGTGCCGTCGTCTGTCCCCGAACTCTGTCCCGTGCGGCGGGCCGGAGCGGGGTGTCTGCGAGTGCGACTCCTGTCGCTGCCGGCCCGGCTGGGCGGGTCTGTTCTGCGACTGCCCTCTGTCTGAGGAGGTCTGCCGGCCGCCGGGGGCGAGCTCTGTGTGCTCCGGGCGCGGCCGCTGCGTCTGCGGACGCTGTGTCGGCTGCCGAGAGCCGTTCTGGGGCCGCTACTGCCAGCGCGGACCCAGCTCGCTCTGTCCGGGCCGGCAGGGTCGCTGCCTGCGCTGCCGACTGGCGTCCCTGCGACATGGAGTTGGTGCCGGGCGGTGTCGGGCGTGCACCGGCTCACGAATGGTGCTGCTGGTGCAGGACGAGCTGGGCTGGCTCTCGGAGCTGGTGCGCCGGTGTCTGGTGCCGCTCGGACGGTGCCTGGTGCCCGTGGTGGTGCAGGAGAAGACCCCAGGCAGACCGCGGGTCAGAGTGGCCGCCGACGACCTGCTCTGTGACAGTGACGTCACAAGCAGAGAGGGGGTGACGTCACACCCTGCCGGACTGATGGTCGGTGTGATGATGGGAGGGAGGATCGTGGGTATGATGTGATCGGACGCAGTGATGTGAGTGTGAGAGATGATGAAATGATGTCGGGAATGGGTCAGAATGATCGCGGTGATGTGAAGCCGGTATAGAACGTCTTAGTGTTTGTGGAATCTGTGCAGAATATCAAACGTGCCAAATGCCGATCATTTAGCTCGAAACCTTGTCAGTAGCGTATTTATGTATCATTATGAATATAATTCGAAGTGGATAAGCTTTTCGATTAATTTTCGGCTTGATTTGCTTGTAACATAACCGTTTACCCTAAATATGATAGCTAAATTACCCCTCGCCGGACCTATTGGTCTTCTTCTTAGGTACCTACGCTTCGGCCGACAGCCGGATGAAGTGATTGGCGGAACCTTCAATTATCCTGAATAAATGTGGTGCTACCAAACCACGGACACAAGGGTCTGATATTTCGATAGGCGATCTACACCAATCAAGATGTCAAGAAGAACTTGAAGAATAAATCACATGAACACATGAAGAATAAATCTACCGAACACTTCTACCTTGCTTCTACCAGGGTTTAACATTTATCAGTCATTGCATTGCGTTATATTTATGCAAGCCTTAATGTCCAGTAGCGGTGGAACACCTTCAATTAAGGGGGGGGGGGTACTTCCGACTTTTGGTCCCATTCTTTCCATGCAACGCCCATAGGGCTAATGTTAAAATGCCAAAATCAAAGGGGGGCACGGTGCCCCGGTGCCCTCCCCGTTCCGCCGCCTATGTTAACCCGGCACCGCCTGGGCTATTTCCGTACCCACGACAGCCTGGGGGGGGGGGTCGGATCCGACCCCCCCCCCCCCCCTGTTATCTCGAGAACCAATGGTCGCACCGAGCCCCGCGAGGCGGCGTTCGAAAGGTCTCTACGACCTTCCCAAAGCACTCTTAAGATTTTAAGATTGAGGTCAACTTTCGGGTCAAGGTCAGGTCAAAGGTCAAATTCTGGGATTTTGCATGATTAGGCTTACGGACAGCAGAATCGATAGCTGCTGCTCGAAACTCACCAAAAATGACCTCAAAGGCCTAGTGAAGGTACCATGTGCGTATAGGGGTCATACTAAGTACGGGTCAAGGTCAGGTCAGGTCACGAAAGGTCACGGTTTTCACTTTCTGCTACATGGGCGTGCGACACATGTTTTATGGCTTATTTTTCACGCCGAATCCGATGGTAACGGTTATATGTGACCCAAGCTGGTGAAAAATGTGCATTGAAAGCCTAAAAAATCGTTTATACCATACATAACTAAACGAGGGCTAAGAAAAAAGGTCAATTTTTCAACTTTTTATTTTTGACATAAAAATGCACTTTTCTAGACGACCTTTGTCCCAGGAATCTAGTGGTGCCATTTGTTTTCACATGCGATGTTCAGAAGTGCCCCTAATTCACGAAAATGCTTATGACGTCACCATGCCCTATGCATGTTGGAGCTATTTTTTACATTTTGGGGGTCAAAAATCAAGATAGAAAGTTGAAATTTGGGACATCTAATTTTCTAATAGAGCTCTATAACATATATTCCGATTTTTTGGAAATTCTCAAAATTTTGGATATAATTAGTTGTTTTTCAAAAAATATAGTTTTTTGAACTTTTAGGGATGAAAAATGCATTTTATGGATAATCCGAGATAGCCATTTTAAAGAACTCGTTGAGCTGCGTCTATTCATGTCCTTAATTTGCAATTTGCTTCAAACCCTGATTTTTGGCGATTTTCTAAACATTTGCCACTTTTTGACTGAAAACGCCATGTAGTTACATCACTAAAATCGATATATCTCAAAAATTTTTGGAAAAATTTTCTTAAAAATCACACAGGAGACGTCAAATTGATGGGGGAGAAGGTATGCCAAGTTTCAAGTTGATAGCGTAAGCGGTTCATGAGTTATTCAAGAAAAACGGAGGGGGGGGTGGGATCCGACCCCCCAGGCGGTCGCGGGTTAATGTCACTCGCTGATATTCAGACACGTTTAACTGTCATTGATTAGAATGCCGTTGAAAGTTTGCACATTGTTTGAAGCCAACAAGCAACCGTCTAGCTCTAACTTCTTTCATCGGTTTGCAATAACATTTATATTTCATCTGAAAGGTCATAACAATTAGCTTCTGCTCTGACATTTTGCAACCGTATTTGATGCTACAAAACACCGAGTGAGTGGTGTCAATATATCAAAATAATGTTAGGGTTGCATATTCCTCCCACAAGGAGAAGGCAATAAAAGACATTAGCCTTTGAACCCTGATGACTTTGAGCGCTCTGAACACCTTAATTATAAATGCGATACCTTCTGCTAAACGTGATTGATCAATGATAAAATGACAGCAGAAATTTCTGTTTTCATTGGGGAGTGGTGCAATAGGTACATTGCTGATTGTACTCTACACAAGGAATAATTAACAAAGAACCAGAATTGATGAAAAAAATGCAACTATTAGCGACTGGTGATGCAGAAACGCTGCTTGGAACGACGCAAAGCGGGAGAAATTCTGAAAAGAATCATTTTCTTAATTAGAAAATCAAACATTGAACTCTCAGTACCCATTGGCAGCACATCACATAAGGCAGAACATCATCTGAAAGGATACTGTTGGTCATTAAATGTCAGCTAAAAACGATCTCCTTCCGTTCACCCTGCTCTCAGGGCAGATGTTCGAAATGTCCACCCTGTCTCGGCCAGTTCAGTGCTCGGCTCGGCGCCGGGTGTGACGGGCAATTCGCCGCAAGTGCTCCTTACTGATGCTGCGGACATTCTTTCGGATGACTTTCACTTGCTTGTATAGAAGGCGTCCCTCTCCCTATCTCATTCACAGTTTGGAGAGGAATCTCAGTGCTCGTAAGTCGTAAGCATATCAAAACGAAAAGCACATCACACATTTCGCAGTTAATGATCTGTGAGATGCCCTTCTTTTGATGTAGGTATTGAAATTCTACTTCTGTCGCCGTCCACTAAGCTCACGATTCACAAACCATTGTTGAAATGTTCCCTTTTTGTATCGAGTCTTCCTAAGTGGACGAGTCACGTGACCGCCAGTACTGGCGTCCACCGTCGTCAGGGGCCAAGGTCAGCCGGATGTCACGTGTTCCAGTTCCGGTCGGACCGGTGTTTTTTGCCGACTTCGCCAATGATCAGTGGACTCTAAACACAATAGCAGACTACAGGAACCGAGGAGAAATAGCAAACAGCAGGGAGGAGCGCAACGTTTCAAGCTCGCTTCACTGGTGGCTCCTTTTTTAAGTTTGTTCAACGAAAAACATCAAGCTCATTTGACATGTCGTCGGTCGGTGAGCGGGCGTCAGGCCCTGGGACAGGGGACAGGGAACTTGAGCCGATCGCCGCTCGGCCTGGGCCGCGTTCCGTGTCAACCAATCACAATCGAGCTCAGCTGACCGCCGGAGGGCACAGCTTCCCCTGCCGACGGCTGCATTTAGCGCCCCGTAGTTAGTGCCGGTGCTAGTAGGACATAACTTAGCTGTTAAAGATTATACGGATAACTTACCCGGATTGATCGTGTGTTTTGAGGTGCATCGGCAAGTTGAAAATGGAGGCGAAGGAGCATGGGAAGTGTTGTGAGCTATCCACTATATAGTTCTACTATTCACGCATTACCTATACCTATAATTTGTCTCGATGCCTCGATGTGTTGAGCTGCGAATCTACACAAGAAAGTCACGAAGACCAGCCACCATCAGTTCTGGTCGGTACCTATCATCATTCATCGGAAAGGTAAGTAACTTGAGAAATATTGCAGCGCAGTCGTAGAGCCGTGTAATTGTAGAGGGATAGGTTAAAAATGACATGTCACCTGCGCTATTTATAGAAGGTCGCCACTTGCCGCATCATGCTCTTACCTGCATGTCGTTCACTGAATTGAAACTGGCCCCTAAAGGAGCCAGAGCCATGCGAAAAAGGTGAACGTGCCATTCTGCACGAGAGCAAGAATAGTGTACCTACACGATATGGTCACATCTACTAGACCTCACAGATGATGTCAAAAAGCTGTTATGCTTTAGCCGAAAATCATGTTTTTGTTTGGGCTTTTATTTCCGTAGCGAAAAAACACCTAGGTATACGCTAGTACTGTAAAGAAGCGTCGAAGAACATGATTTTCTAGGGGAATGTCGCGGACGCGGTCACGGTTGCCCTAGGCCTAGTATGAGCATTGAGCTTTGATAACCCCGCACAGCGCACATGGCTTAGCTCTCGATCACCGGCCGAGAGCGAAGACATGGAAATAGGAATTCCCTGACGGTTTTCTCGCGAATGCGCAGAACGTGTTTGTGATAAAGAGCTGAAGGTTGGCATGCGAAACTGTTTACGGAAGCCGAATCTTGTAACACTAGTCCCCAACCGCATTTTCAGTTTGTCAGGTCAATGACCTATGACGTCAGTGGCGTATCCAGGATCTTGGAAAGGGGGAGGCCAAACCTGCTCGAGGGGCCCCATCCTTACCTTAGGGGCCCCAGTAGTATAGCGTACTTAACTCACGCCCAGGTGCGGTTCTTTGCCACTTTTGCCATGTGAGGGAGCCTTTTTAGGCACACTCGGCAATCTAAAAAAAAAAAACTGTTGAAACGTGAAAAAGGCATCGATATCGATAGCTCTGTAGCGTACAATTTATTTCAGCAGTAGGCATATAGTTTTTTTTTTGCTTTGGTCGTCGCTAGGGTCACTAAAGATCATCAAAAGCAAACTGTCTTTGCCAATTTTTTTTAAAGATTGTAACATTTTTCAAAGGGCAGATGTCAGTCTCTTAGTGTCTTGCGCTGGTTGAGGGCTGGTACCCTTAACTTTAGAAGGACCCGACTCGGTTTGAGCTCTGATCTAGACTCTGATGGCTCTATGTCGCCCACATTGGCCTCACTCCGACCTCTGAAGGCTCATTCTGGCCTCTGAAAGCCCCACACCGGCAACAGAGCGAACCACGCTGGCCTCCGGGCCCCATAATGGCCTCAAGAGACCCATGCTATGGCTGACCTCACAGGGCCCCCCGCTGGCTCTTGGGAGCCTTTGAGTCAGGCTCTGATGTCCCTATGCCGCTCCCGAACCCACGCCGGTCTCGGGTCTCACGCTCAAGTCTAAGCTTTTTTATGGCCGCCAAAGCGACCTCTGAGGGCTCCACGCTAGCCTCTGGGGGCTCAGCCTTGGCCTCTAAGGGCCCTACGCTGGCCTATGAGGGCCATCAAATGGCATTTTAAGATAGT